CTTTCACGTGATAGTACCCATCCCTCAAATCCAATGAGCTAAAATATTTCTTGTTTGCCAGTGCATCAAGCTGGTCTTCAATCAAGGGCAAAGGATAATTATCGCGAGCTAACGAGTCATTTAACGTTCTAAAATCGATGCACATACGTGGTTCTCCATTCTTTTTCTTCAACAACACGATTGGTGAAGCATACTCCGAGTGACTTCTCCTAATACATCCTTTCTCAATTAAACGATCCAATACTACTCTTAATTTCTCTTTATCCGAATACGACAATTTTCTCGGCAAATAATGAAACGGTTCATTCTTTGTCAGCCTAAGCTTCAACTCTTGTTTAATTACTGGCTCGTCTGGTCTTTCTGGCGTCACATATTCTTTCATAAACAATCTCTGAAATTCAAGCCTCGTCTTAACATCAACTTTTTCGTTTACATTCAATTCATCAACTAAATCATGTGAGTCATCAATCTGAATATTTAGTATTTCCATAATTGCTTCGCTTTCTTCTGACGGTCTCAACGATAATTTAAATCTTTTCATCAATATATCTCTTCCTATTAACGCAGATACTTTAATTGCATTCTCATTGACTACAAAAACTGGAACATCTTCTTCAACTTTATTGTACAACGTAACGCGTGCGTTAATGACTCCTAATATTTCAAGTGGTGACTTATTCACCCCTGTGTAACGCGAAGTACCTGACTGAACCGGACGAATGGACTCTCTGTCTACAAATCTTTCTTTAATTAAACTGATCGGACTTCCCGTATCTAACTGTGTATCAAGATTTAAAACTCGCCGCGTTTCTGAATTATTAATTTCAAATATAACTATCTCACGACAATCCGCCTTTGGTGCTGGCTCGTCATAAATGTTGGTGACCTCAGGTGATTTTTTAGAATCCTCCTTCTTTGGACTCTTATTCCTCCAGTTGTCAGGGCATTCGACAGCTTTGTGCCCCATCTTGAAACAAATGTAGCACGCTCCTTTTTCTCGTTCTGGCTTCGGACACTCGATTGCAATATGACCATGTCTGTTACAATTAAAACACTTCGACATTTTATTTTTGTCTTTCACTTCATTCTTCTCATTTTTCACTTCTGTTTTTTGACCTTTTCCGTCTTGTTTTAAACTCACACTGGAACCACTGATTGCATTCGATCCACCTGACTCCTTTCGATTTTGATTTTTACTGTCAGACTGGAGAGTGATCTCTTTGACTGCCGCCAATAAATCAGCCTTAGCTTTGAAACGTAATGATTTTGCTTGATTCCTCAGTGCTCGTTCTGACATACCATCAATTATACTCTCGATTATTTCCTCCTCATCATCAATAGGCACTTTATTCGCCAAAATAGTTTTATCATAAAAATAGCTGTCAAAACTTTCACTTGGCATCCACTACCTGTTCTCGAATTCTTTCTTCCTATTTAATTTTGTGGGGCGATGATCAAAAAATTCCTTTATTGCTCCCAACAATTCCGTCAAACTCAATTCTCTGTGTTCAGCTTTAGAATGAAACCACTTCGCAGCTTTACCTCTCAACTTCGTGGTCACCATCAACTGTCCCATCTTTTCGTCAAGATTAAACACACGTACTAAATACTTCACTTGCTTTTCCCACTCAATAAAGTCAGTTCCTTCACTAAATTCCGGCAATGACTCTCCAATTGTTTTGAGACTAGCCTTCAGTACTTGATTGGGGGAATTGGGGGCCAGTTGCGGAACTCCTAAGTTCCCTCCACTTCGAATTAATTCTTTCTCTCGTTCCAGCAATGCAACTTTCTCAGCTAATAACTCTTTCTCTCTTCTCAATAACTCCAATTCTCGTTGCATCATTCGATCTTTGTTGGCTGCAGCGGCTGCTTCCCGATCTCGTTCCTCTTGTAACTCCTTTTCCTTATCTGTTTGCCTCTTTGCGTTGTCCTCTTCACGATTTGCCTCTGCAATCCAACTGCCTCCAGGATCATCTTCATTTAACCTGCTGATCAGTTCTGCCTTCGACCCTGATAGCGACAGGCCTTTCTTCCTCAAAATTTCCTTCAATTCCGCAACCGTAAAATCATTAGCGTCTTTCGTCATCTTGAAATCCTGTTAATCACACACTATTTAAAACGTCAATTTTTATTCTTCTATTTCACATAAAATTGATAAACTACTGAATTGGGCACTGTTGAACATATTCCTCAGCTCCGCATCAATAGAAAACCGTTCATACTATTTTTCATACTATTTCACTTAATATCCGATTAACCACTAAATTAAGCACTGTTGGACATATCCTCAGCTTCTCATCAATGGAAAATCGTTCATACTATTGTTCCTCCTATTTCATAAAATTTCACACTGCACTTCATTTCTTTTGGATCATAATCCCACTTCTGAATTTGTAAGGGTTTTTGTCAAAAGATGGCATACTCTTTTCTTCAAATAAAACAATAGAATATATTTAATAAAATATACTTGGGTAACATGTTTGATAATATGAAAAAGACTTTGCTCTAAGGCGTTTCTTACTCTCAAAACGTCATCTCTGTCACTTCCGACCTCTGACACCGACTCCGACCGACTGCCCTATATCTCCCACTCTCATTATGCGTAAGGCGCGTAGCTCTACGACGTCACACCGATGACTCATTAGTCCCACCGTGCATACATCTCACACAGACTCATACGAATACATGAAATTAAAAAATGAACTCTCACAATACTGAGCAAAATCATCTCAACCCTTTTCACGTTATCCGTATGAAAATTTCTAAATTTGATTTTTTTTTCTAACTCGGCGAGACGCGCGCTAGCCCGGTTGCATGAGGTCTATGTGTCATTTTTATAATTCTCATTCCCATGAAGTTTCTATTCGATAACATCAAGTACCCTGTGAACTGGTATATGAATAGTTTCATTCACTTGACCGATAGTTATAGAAAAATTCAAACCAAGCTGAATTTACCATAAACATTATGGAATTCAATTTTTGAATTAAAAACTCACATATGTTAATGAAAATTAGCCTTAATCTAATAATTCAGGAGTAACTTCATAAAGGTAATTTAGTATATTTTCACCTGAACATAAAATATCGCTACAGATTTGAACAGAAACCAAGCAATCTTGTCATTAAGAAGAAAACCATGAAAATTTACAAAACATGACATTCTGAAATCACTACATTATGGCGTGGAACAATTGATCTGGTGAATGGAATAGATGATTTGGGGTATCAATTTGAAAATCTCGACGGGAACTTCAAGTTGGTTTACGATTTATCCTCACAGGTCATATCTACAGCCTCTAAAAATGGCAAAAACTGTAATCTGTGGTGCGTGACATCGTAAAAAGTAGAAACTATTTGCTATAACTCGATGAAAATTTCATTGAATCAGGATTACCGTGCACAATTTCGAAGAAAAGTAAATGCTCTTCAAAATAATATATAGATATCCCCGCCTAGTCCACTTAGGTGCATCAAAAATCCAACCAATATTAATTTTTCAAGTGAAACATGAAAATTCAATTTTCGTCTAAAACTCTCACAAGTTGATGAAAAATTGGCAAAAAATTGGATAAATCAGATGTAATTTTAAAGCTTATTCAATAAGCTTTCTAATGAGTACACATTGCTTTCTAATGAGAAATTGAGTATAGAAACAAAAGAATGAAGCCTGGTAACGCTCACACGGACATTTCTATATGGAATATTGAATGAACAGAAAAATAGGAATTGGTCGGTAAGTTATTGGTTCACCACTTAATGAGTCACACCCGCTCCAGCCCACATACAATGGGAGCGAGCAAGGCGACATTCAAGTAGAGAAAGTGACATTCAGATAAATAAAGACTAAAAATAATAGACAAGTAGTAAAACTATGTTTTCGAAACGAGTTCCCTCGGGGTTAACCTGTCAAGTACGGGGTCTTCGGCACCCAAATTGTCTCTCACGCTAAGCGGTAGATGGTAAACACGTGTATAAGTTCTCTATAGTATAGAGACCCTGGCCCACAGACCAAGCTGGTGAGTCCATGTACGTATATGGACCCCGTCCTTGAGGGGTTAATGGAGGTGCACCTAAACGCGAGCCCTTATTTTTTATGTACCTGACGGGGTTGGAAAGTCTCCTGGCCAACGAAATGTCATGGTACAGTAATTATATGTAAGATTCCTAACTGCCAAAGATGTTATTCTCGATCGGTATATTTACATTCTGTATTATCCACGAGCTATCTACTCGGTCAAATCTTAGATGTTTTTAAGGTATAATTTGAAAGATAGCATATAGCATCCCACTTTCGGTGTAATTTATACCTTAAAAACATCTAAGGTTTGACCGAGTAGATAACTCGGGGATAATACAGATTCTTAACTAATTTTGTAAAGATAAATTTTCCATGAGTTTTTATGGGATGAATGGGGATCCAAGTAGGTGCAAACTTTGGCCGACCCCATTGTTTTCGAAGAATGTTCCTGAAGGGTTGAGGAAGTTTCTTGAACAAGAAATTTCGTGCTGCACGAATTAGAAGATTTTTAATTAATGTTTGAACATGAATCAACTATGTTCCAATGAGTACACCACCAAATTTTTTGATCAGGGAACTTGCCCAACCCCCAGGAACATTTTTCAAAAACAATGATGTCGATAACTGCATCTCCAGTTATCCCCTGAAAACTTGTGGAAAATTAATTTTTAAACATTAATTATAAATCTGCGAATTAGTGCATCGCCAAATGTCTTATCCCGGAAACTTCCGCAACCTCTCAGGAACATTTTCCAAAAGCAATGGCATCGATAAGTGGTGCCTTCAGTTGCACCCCCGTGAGTTTTTATGTCATTCAAGCCTTTAACATGAGTTTCAATATTCCTACTCTATGGCCATCAAAGCAGAATCCCTCAAAAGCACAAAGAATGTCGACGTCCCTCTATAGAGACGTCGGGGCAGTCAAAGTTAAGAATGTTTCCGAGTCGATACGCTACCATGTATTTCCATGATCAATTTACCTTTATCAGCAAGTAGTGTACGCTGAGCAGGATCGAAAACAAGACAATAGAAGAACGAATCGTCTTTGTTCAAATAACTGAGGAGTGACTCCGTCTCATTGAGTAGAGTAACACAGCATTTGCCCCTAATGTGAGTGGCAGGCATAGTTTCAACTTGACGAGACAGGAAAAGCTCTCTATGTTTCATCTGATGTCGTTGTTTTGTGCTTAGTTCGGATACTCCACCAGCACCCACGACACTTTCCTCCATCCCTATTGAAAAGAATTATAAGAAGCATTAACAATTGTTTTCTCAAAATGTCAAATTTCATGCACCATCCCATGCTTAAAAAATAACTAAATTCAAATAATGAATACATAATTTTAAATAATTACAAATATCTTCTACATGAAAAGAGGAAGACAACTTTTATTGCAAAATTATGAAATTATTCTTTCAAGTACTCAATGATGATCTAAATTTCTAATCATCGTTAATCATGCTGTCCTAATGCATGAATGCAATACGTAATGGACTAAATGTAATTACAAAATAAGCAGACCGCAGTACTAAACGAAAGTCAACTAGATAGAATTGGTAACGTAAAATAAATAGAATGAGAATTTTTTCGGGTTTTAATTGAAGAGATTACAGTCATATAGTCCTGGTAATGAAATGTGTGCTGTTACTAATCTAATTGTCTCAAAAGCAAATAATCTCGAAGAAAAACGTTTTTTTGAATGAGAAAATTCACAACAAGAAAAGGTCTTCAACATTTTTTGTATCGCAATCAATCATTTCAAAATAATTTCATAAATAGCAGAATAAGATAAGTATAACCGGCTTATGACTTTATTCCATTTTAAAACAAAAATTGATTGCAGTTGGAAATATATTAGGTCGACAATCGTGGAAATCGCTTATAAGTAGAATAAGATTAATTGCATATATTAATCACAAACGATTATACTGAAAATATACTCTACAAAAGATGTTATCCGCTCAAATTTCCTCAATCACCAGATTACGTTTGAGTAGAAGAGAATGAATCATTTAACGACGGAATGCCTCAGCTTACTAAAGAATCTTCAATGAATGCAGTTGAATGGTACTAAAAACTCCAATAAAAAATATATATCATTTTAATTTATTCAAAAACTTCACGATTTTCCTATAATATGTTGCAGCGTAAAGGATTGATTCTAGCTTGGATCGCTCTATTTAATTCCAACTTGAGCCAAACATTCACTCCTTATCATGTATTTTTGATTTAGAAAAAATGTACAGCCATTCATTGAACACCTGAAACAAAACTGGAAGTTTCAAGAATTCAACAGCAGCGGAGTTTATATCTCTTTGGCCTTACAATGAAGTCAACCTAAACTATCGGCATTCATCAAGATTACAAAGAATTTTTCAATTCAACTGCAGATTCAGAAGCCTTGTATCATCATTGGCATCTCAGTATCGATATAGGTATTAGAAGTTCGAAAAGTTTTTATCGCTTTCTATTGATTGCGGTGTGCACCCGGAAAGTAAACATTTTTTTGTTCGATTTTTTACCTACTATCCTTTTCAAAATTGTCATCCGCAAACTTTGGAAGCTTGTATTTTCGCGAAAAAAATCGCACGACTGGAGTGAATTTCATTCGTTACATTGAATATTACTCTACGATAACTTCTTCGCTATTATGATAAGAAGATGAAAAACCCATTTTTTTCATGTGCCGTGGAAATCAATGAAACTTTTAAAGAGTCCCAGGGACCTCAATTTTTTTTTAAATTACCCCAGTTTTTGCCATAATAGCCTACTTGTTCAAGAATGGAATGGTTAAACAAAAATTTTATTTTTTAAACAATTATTGGTTTTCTAAATAAAAATATCTCATGTGACTATTTCCAATGAAGAATAACCAATTGGAATGAGAAAAATTTCTTTGAATAGACAATTGAAAACTGAATACATTTCGGTTATGATTTGCCGCGAGAAATATGTCAAATATTTTATAAAAATTCTTGAAATTTCCATTTTTTTACTGACCACACGTCATTATAATTTTAGTAGAGGGTTACCTTTCGGACCCTCAGAATTGCTGCAACATGTGCACTCTTCTACTCTTTCCACTCTTTCTACTGCAAATTGCAATATTTCCCAAACCAATTCGTTATCTCATATTGGAGATGGCTGTATATTTTTATTTTAAAAATCAATAATTGTTTTAAACAAATGAAACTTATTTAACCATTCCATTTTTGAAAAAGTAGGCTGTCCTGTAAAAAATTCGAATTAAAAAAACATTGAGGTCCTGGGATTTGGTCAAAGTTCATTAACTTTCATGGCACATGAAAAACATGGATTTTTTCATCTTATCATAATCATAGCGCAGAAACTACACTTTTGAAAAGGACAGCAGGTAAAGTGTCAATATCGATTTGTAACAGCTGTATTGAGAGTCACATTCATTATCAACATTGTTTGCTCAATGTGACTAGAAATAATATGGCTAATTTTGGTCACTTGTTGTCGGCTTGTCAACATCAATTCTTTGATATGAAGAGACAAAGCGTTACATGAACATTTATTTTTGAGAGTGTCGAGCATATGGTTGAGAATACTTTTGCATCAGGGCCAGAAAAAACACTAAGGACTGTCATATCACGATGTCTTCTTTAACTTACAAAGTTTCCCAGATTTGGGAATAATCATGTAAAAATTGAGTATATTAATGAATCGATGGTTTGGAAAAAGAGGATCGGTGAATATTTAAAAAAAATAAGTTTTCGATGCATAACAAACAAAAATATAATTTTTTTTTTTGATAATACAGGTACAACACTACGAATATTTAATGATGTACAACATGTGTATGAATATTTGGTTGGCACTACCGTCACCTTAAAGGAAGCGTCACTCGCGCATTCATTGACAACAGACTGGACCTTTTTTAATCGCTTTTGGTCACTCACCATGGGGCTCGTGGGCCTCCGATAGTGGGGCTTTGAGCCATCCACCTTTCCCAGCCCCTTTGCTCATCACTTTCGGACCAATCCCATCTTTACTAGTCATTTCCTTAGTCGAATCTTGATTCTCGATTTTCTGACTCTGCGTGCTTGCAGGAGATTCTGACCTCTGCTGCTCCACGCTTGCCACTGCAAATTTTTTTGAAAAAAAAAAAAACCGGGGCTGCTTATTTGTTTGTTTTATGATTTTTATTGCTTCCGCATGGAAACTTTGTAATCGATGGATTTAGTGATTCTCTAATTTCACTTGGAAACATGTTAGAATGTGATGAAATGGCAAGATATGATAAAAAAAACTCTAACTTCCTCAGCCATTAACGGTCATAACGGCAATTTAAATCAAAATCACACGAAGAGAAATGTTCAGTAAAAATTACGGAACTCATAGTTCGCTCACCGATTACGGAATCGATACAAAAAATTTAAGTGACGGTATCGTAATTTTTAACAGGAGATTCAGGTAAAACTTACGTGACAGTTCCGTAAAATTTCCTACAACCACATTTCGCTCCGGAATTACAGAAAAGATACATAATTTTTATTGAATGTTTCTCTCTGTACAATAAAGAGAAGAATCCAAAGAAAACTAAAACAATTCTTCCACTAATTGAACTCATTCCACTAATTCCTAATTCTAATTCCAAGAGAATTAGAATTTAGAAAAAAAATCCCACACCGTCCAGCCGGGATTCGAACCCAGGTCTCCCAGTTACGCGCCAGGCACTCTCCCAACTAAGCTACCGGGAACTACGGAAATCTCTCCAAATTCATGTCGAGATATGATGTTTTTAGAAAAAGGCTGCATGTATGTCCGTATGTGCGTGCAAAATTGTGGGATTTTTTTTTAATAAATCTTCACAAAGAAGGCACTAAACTGATAGCTAAAAAGCTGAAATTGACTCCAAATTGATATTATTTTGGGGCACTTCTCTGCCAAAATTGAATCGGTAGATGAGTTTTTGAAACTAATTAACAGCAATTCTCCAAAGTTTTTCTTTTCTCAATATCTCCAAAACTACTGCATCAAACAAACTTTTTCTACGTCAAAGTATTCCTTATAATATTATCGAATCAGACCTAGCTAACTAGGGCGAGTGATATAGAAATTTGCAGTTCCTATTTTCGTGAGAAAATCGGTATGGGCGCGATAACTTTGGAAAAGATTAAGATAGAAAGTTGAAATTTGGTAAGATTCTAGTTATTACAGGCTGCAACTTCCGATGGGAGAAATCGCATGAGTGTTTTTGGAGATATTCAACTTTTCGTATAAAATTATATTGGCAAATATTTGAAAAACTATTGATCCGATTTCAATTTTTTTCAAAATAGTCATCTCACTATCTCCGGAACCGCTCAGCCGATTACGCACATCAAAAATACCAACCTTTAGTATTATAAGAGCTAGAACTATACTAAATTTGAACTTGCTATCTCCTTTTTGCTTCCGAGTGGAAGCCTTGTAATCGGTCATTTTTACAATCTTCTAATTTTGCTTGGATATTATGTAGAATGTCATGAAACGTGAAGATAAGATGTTTTTAGAAAATGTGTGTATGTATGTGTGTATGTATGTCCGTATGTGTGTGCAGGTTTTTCGGAAATTTTGTATAAATCTCAACAAAAAGACAAGTAAAGTTGCAGCTATAAATTTGAAATTTTGTCACATAATTGCTATCATTTGGGAGCAGCTCTGGGCGCATTTTCAGCCCAAGCGGTCAAGTAGTTCTTGAGATGACAGCAATTTCTCAAAAATCGTTTTTACTCAATATCTCAAAAACTACGTGGCCTACTTGAATTTATTTGCCATCAAAGTGTTCTTTGTAATAATATCTATCGAATCAAGTCATAATATCCCTATGAAAGTAGGAACAGTTTGATTATAATTGGCATTTTTCATTTTTATGATAAAATTGATGTATACACGATAACTCTCGAAAAAATTGAGATAGCCTATTGAAATTTAGTGAGATTGTAGCTCTTATGATATTACACGATGAGTTCATGAGTAGGCAAAAACGAACAAAGCGCATACGCATACGTATTAATGCGTATACGTATTTTTCCCTGATCATCATGAAATCAATTATAATTGTAAATTTTTCATGATGATTGCTAAGTTTTCCATCGAATTCCATTCCAGGTGATGAGTTAACATAGAGATTTTGAAAAATACAAATTTGTCCATTCATTTTAGTGAGCAGTACGTTGGGCTGGTAGCGTATCAACACTATACTATCGTAAGCCCGTAACTTTTCTGGCACACCGTGTCACTAAACATACATCAAATAATAATCTTATAACAAATGCAATAGGGTGGGATTTGTTTTTCATTTTTTAATCGATATTACATGGTCCTATCAAATGTGAATTATCATGACAGTTTATAAGGGCATGATTATTGTTCTTCTCCTGTCATCAATTATTATTCCGTACTAGACAATGTAGGAAAGATCAGAGCAAGATCGCTGATTCAGGTGATGATTTAAAACAATTCCGTGAACTAAATTTTTTTCATTTTTATGGAGATATTAGGAGCAAGTCTCTAAGGAGTAAAGGGCAAATGGTTTTGACAGTCAAACGTGTTAGAATGCAGTGATTTTACAAAGGTTAAACGACAGATTCAAGGCAACCGAGAGTTCAAGCTATAACAGAGAATAAACGGGGAAGCGGAAAAAAACAATCGATAGGGCCAAACATGAAAGACGGGCGCATTAATCAGCAGGGTACCAAGATAATTTCTAAGGGTTATGGGGGCCAGGCGTGAGGGTCAAAGATGAGGATAAAAAACCGCAGAATGAAATAAGAATCAAAACGAAAGGTAAGAAACGAAAGTCGAACAATAGAAAAAACAGAGAGTAAAAATTAAGAGTCACGAGGGTGGGATGGGAGGGTCAGAAACTAAGGTCAAAATTCAGGGTCACAAGGTTCAGGCGTGGATGTTAGGAATAAGGATAAAAAATGAAGCTCTAAAACAAGGGTCAACACTCGATCAAAAAAAAATCACAAAAATAAGTGTTACAATAAAGGGTCACGAGGGTCAGTCTGACTGTGATTTTTGATTTTCATTTCTGACTCTTAATTCTCAGCTTCACGCTTGACGCTCGTGACTCTTAGATTTGATCATTGTTTGTGGCTCTTCTCTTTGAAAATCATTTTTTACTCCTTACCCTCGTGTAGGCCTCGTGTACCCTTATTTAACCCATCTATTATTTAATTCAGACTTTTTTTACCCTCATTTCTCCACTTGACCACATTATCTTTGATGATTTTCCCCTATGACTGATCCTTATTTCTAACCCTTATTGCTGAGCCCCATTTGTGACCCTTATTTCGAACTCTCACGCCTGATTCTTGTGACCCTTATTGACTCTTATTTCTGAGCCTCATTGTTATGACCCTAGTTTCTCTTCCTCACACCTGAACCTCACTTTTTTACTATCACACTCGACCCTCGTGACCCTTAGCTTTGATCCTCGTTTCTGACATTCAGTTTTGAACCTTACATCTTCTCTTAATTCTGACCCTCTCGCCCAAACCTCGTGACCCTTCGTTCTGATCCGAATTTTGGGCCCTCACGCCTGACCCTTGTGACCTTTAGTTTTTGGACCCTTGCTTTTGAACCCCCTTTTTGGACACTTAGTTTTGACTCATTTCTGAGTCTCATTCTTGTGACTCTTATTTTTCACCCACGCAGCCTCAGGATGAAGGTCAGGTGAGGGTCACACCTGACCCTCATTTTTTTACTGTCACACTCGACCCTCGTGGCCCTTATCTTTCATCCTTGTTTCTGACCTTCATTCATGAAGGTCATTTTCTTTGGTTCATTTTGAACCTTTTTTCCACTGTTAATTGTAACCCTCATGACCAAACGTCGTGACTCTTCGTTTTGATCTGTATTTCAGACACTTACGCCTGACCCTTGTAAACTGCAGTTTTGACCATTGTGAAAACTAAAAAATTAATTACTAGGAAGAATAATAACGATAAAATTCAGAAAACCTAATAACAATCATTAATTCGCAGTCAAATAGTCACTAACATCAACAAATATTAATCAATCAATTTTCATCACTGGGCCCGATAAACCGCCATTGTAACCTCGCTTCACTCGGTTAAATCGCGGATTTCGGGCCTAATGATAAAAAATATTGTTCTACACACGACCGTAGGAACTTTTCAACTCATATGATTACAGAACTAGCCTGCGGCTCGTCCTGTAACCTCATATTCGCCAGAAAAGTTCCTCACGCCCTAGTCTCGAAATGTACTATAATACCATAACTTTAGATCGATTCATAATTCATATAGACGATACGAACTTTCAATTTTCAGAATCGTGCGTTAGTCGAGTGGTTAGGGCGTAGGATTAGTATGCGTAGCATCGTGGGTTCGAGCCCATCATAGGTAGAACCCACATATCATATTCATATTCATATTAATAAGTATATGAGTGGGTTCATATTTTAAGTTTCAAAATCGGAAAAATAATTAATATTAACTCATGCCATTTGTTTTTTCGCTTATTTTTACTAATAATCATGATTGATTGGGCGTACTACGCTCCAGCGACTTTGTTCCCCCATTAAAATTTTTCCTCTTTGTAACTTTTTGAGAATTCTAACCGATATGGGAGGAAATGACTAGTTTAGCCTAAAATTATGTTTATTGCTTCGTAATTGTTTATCCATTTATTTATTCATTTTCATTTCGCACCTACCGGTACGATGGACCAGTGCGATTTGCAAACGGAACCAGTACTGCGTACAGCTGGATTGAATTTGATATAGAAATGTTCCTTGATAATCCAAACTAAAAACCAAAGTTTCAAAATGTTTCCCTGACTTTGACTCATGTCATAGTGCGCAAAAGTGAACTCCAAGCAAAAAATACAAAAACGACGATATCACGAAAAATTTCAATGGGATGGGACCCATATTTTGTTGGATCTAGATAGATGGCATGAAAACGCACATTTTGAAAGAAAAAAAATGAAATCGGACAAATAGTTTTTGAGATATTGACCACAAGATTTCGTTCATTCATCATCCCAAACTTTTTCACCATGAAACCTAAAATCATACTAAGTTTCAACTTTCTATCTCGATTATTTTTCAAGTTTTCGTGCG